GAGGACCTTTCTCAACAGGATGGATGTAGAACTTCATCCCTCCATACGTTTTGGACTTCAATTCCCAGAAATCCCAGGAATTGTGGGAACTGAAGTCCAAAACACCTGGAGGGGCAGTGCCGGACAGCTCCTGCAAGGGGAGGCCGAGAAGCTCCAGGTGGGTGGACACCAGGCATGAACTTGGCTTGAGAAGGGAGGGAGAAGCTGGTATGAGGACCCTTCTCAACAGAATGGAGGTAGAACTTCAGCCCTCCATGTATTTTGGACTTTGATTCCCAGAAATCTCCGGAATTGAAGTCCAAAACACCTGGAGGGCCAGTGCCTCTTCCATCAGGGGCAGCTCCTGCAAGGGGAGGCCGAGAAAATCCAGGTGGGTGGGCACCAGGCATGAACTTGGCCTTAGAAGGGAGGAAGAGCCTGGTATGAGGACCCTTCTCAACAGGATGGATGTAGAACTTCATCCCTCCATAAGTTTTGGACTTCAATTCCCAGAAATCTCAGGAATTGTGGGAACTGAAGTCCAAAACACCTGGAGAACCAAAGTTTACTCATGCCTGATGTCATCCTCATCCATAATTTCTGGGGAGTAGAATTCCTCCATCTGCCTCAATGGAAAAGATCTCTCTCCCCAATCCCTGTCATTCCCACCAGAGTCCATCAATCAACTTGGACAGGACATGACTCCTTATCTCTATCTCCCAACTAGGTAGTTCCAGGGGGAAACCATCAAGTATCCCGAGCCCAAGGAAGGGCACCAGCCCTGCAGGATCATGCAGGGAGGCTAAAGGGGGCTAATATAGGCCAGGTCAATAGATCCGATGCTGGTATTGGTGGAAGGAGGTGAAAGGGAGTTCCTTGGACTCCTGGGTGGCAAAAGAGTCCTCTGCCTCAGCAATGGCCATCCATCCCTACTGTTCTTCTCGCAGCTTCAAGGTTTGGCTGCTTCATATCTGGGGAGATCCTTTGTTAGGAGGTGTTAGCTGGCCGTGATTGATTCCCTCCAGGCAGGAAGCAGTTTATATATTTGTGGAATGTCCAGGCTGGGAGAAAGAATTCTACCATTCTTCTCACAGCTTCAAGGTTTGGCTGCTTCATGTCTAGGGAAATCATTTGTTGGGACGTGTTAGCTGGCCCTGATTGATTCCCCCAGGCAAGAAGCAGTTTATATATCTGTGGAATGTCCAGGTTGGGAGAAAGAACTCTTGTCTGTTGGAGGAGGTGTGAAAGTTGCAATTGGCAACCTTGATTAGCATTGAATTGCCTCGCAGCTTCAAAGCCTGGGCTGCTTCTTGCCTGGAGGAATCATTTGTTGGAAGGTGTTAACCGCCAACAAAGGATTCACCCAGGCAGGAAGTAACCAGGCTTTGAAGCTGCAAGGCTATTCAGTGCTAATCAAGGTGGCCAATTGCAGTGCACTCAGGGGCAGAGAGTTCCACTGCTTAACAGCTCTCACAGTTAGGAAGATCTTCCTAATGTTCCTAACCTTCACACTTGCCTCAAGCAGACAAGAGTTCTTTCTCCCACTCTGGACATCATTCCATAGATATCTAAACCCCACTTGCCTAGTTTCCAACAGACCTCACAACCTCTGAGGATGCCTGCCACAGTTGTGGGTGAAACGTCAGGAGAGAATGCTTCTGGAACATGGCCAGACAGCCCGGAAAACTCACACAAAAACACAATATTCCAGCCATGAAAGCCTTCGACAACAGCTAAAAACTCGTTTGAGTGAATCTTCTCTTTAGTGGTATATATATCCACTAGTTTTAGGTTTCTCAGTTGTTAGACTGATATACCTGGTTATCTCTTTGAACTGTTAGGGACAAAGATTATGCCAATGCACAAAATAGACAGATCTTCAGAAGTGTCATTTCATAGATATGGGTGAAACGTCAGGAGAGAATGATTCTGGAACATGGCCAGACAGCCCAGAAAACTCACAGCAACCCAGTATGAGAGATGGCATTGGATGGTGGGTCTGTGGAGAGATGGGTGTGCCAGGGAAGGTAGAGGCGAGAGACCAGTCTGGATACACTCCTCTTTCAAGTTCAGGATCTGTGACAGCCTTGGATGGAAATCTCTCCGATTTCAGGGGGGGCGGGGGGCAGCCGTGGGTGGGCTGTGACTAGCTGTGGAGAAATGCGTCTGAGCGGCATGTGATGGAAGCATTGCTCACTTCCCGGCTCTAATTGTGTGACTTGGTTTGTTTCCTTGAGCTCTTACTGGGAGCAGCTGGTGCATCTGTGCCCCCATATTCTAATTTTGCTATCCAGGAGGGTCCCAAACCCTTTCCCTCCCCAAGCATGCACATCTCACATCTCATGTCCCTTGGAAATCCCATCATCCCTTGGCCCCGGTTTTATTCTTAGCATGACAGCACAGTGCAAATAGGACAATAGAATGAGCAAGGCTGGGGCTTCCTGGGTTTGGGTCTGTTAACTTATTGGCACAAGGTTTCCTTAGGCAAGGAGCCTACAGTGGCGCAGTGGGATAAACCGCT